TCAATACTATTTCAAGTATTAAATCTTTCTGATTAATAATTTTACATGTTTGAAAATATCTAAAAACGTGTTGCTTTTTTAAATGTTTTAATCTCAAAAAAAAAAAAATTTGTAATATATTGCTACAAGCAGAAAAATGTATATTTCATGCATGCCACATAACTGTATTTAAACATTTCATATGCATAATTTGAGGTGCTTTCTTAATACCATACGTACTGATGGTATTACTTGCTGGCATACCATTGTTTTACATGGAGCTATCGCTTGGTCAGTATTACCGTAAAGGAGCAATTACAACTTGGGGATGGATCTGTCCACTTTTCAAGGGTACACAGTACCAGAATGTTTTTTAAATTATACCGCATAAAACCACTATAAATAAATACAAAAATTATTATGAATTTCAAAAAAATTAATAATTTTTTACATAAAAAATTTGAAAAAACAAAATTAATTATACATAAATGAAGCAAATTTCAATTTTTTAAAATTAAACCTAAAATTTTGATATTTAAATTTACTTACCGTAATACTTTTACTATTTTAGGAATAGGTTACTGTGTAATTATGATAGCATTTTATACGGATTTTTTTTACAATGTAATTATTGCATGGGCATTGCATTTTTTTCTAAAATCATTTACAACTCATTTACCTTGGACAACCTGTAATAACGATTATAATAGCATTGCTTGCTATGAACCCACGTTAGTATTTTTTCAAATATTTATGCAAAAATTTTATGTCACATTTTGTAATTCATATAAAAACTTAATTTCAAATGTTTTCACTTTACAATTAATTAATTTTTGAATAAATAAATACCCAAATTATAAGTTGTTACTTAAAGTTTTTCGAAATTTTTGCTAACAATTAAGCTGGAATAATGGAAAACATAACGAATGTGCTCAACCACTCAACAAATCGAATGATATGATCATCTCAGCTGCTGAAGAATACTTTTAGTAATCTTTTATTCAGTAAATGTTTTGCATAGAAAGATATTTTAGTGCTTAGTGCTTAGAAATATTGGAATATACTGTTGAATTATTATTTTTTAATGTATTTTTTTGTTTATTTTTAAATTTGTTTTTTACTATAGTCAGAAATAACCAAATTTCCATAGTTAGGCGATATCCAACACACAATTTTTATAATTATAACAGATCAATTTACTATCCATATAATAATCGCTATTATTATTCTTGATCACAATAATTTTGTGTCCATACTTATACGCTCCTACACAATTCATTTTTGTCATTATCAATACTATTACTATTTTTTTCATTCTACTCGAAAAATAATGGAAATAATGTTTATTAATTATTGTAATAATTCTTCAGTAAAAAATTTCTGGGCTTGCATACCCGAGGTGCGACTAATTCTTCAGTTGCTCGATCACTGGATAATCTCGGATCGGTCAACTGGGAGATAGCTTTTTGCCTTTTGCTAGTCTATCTCATTTGTTACTTTTCACTTTGGAAAGGTATCAAAATGAGCGGAAAAGTATGCTTTTTAATTTTTATGAATTCTGTAATCATTTTGAATTCTCACAATCCTTTCAAAAGACTGAAAAATAGATATTAGATGTAGATCACATTTACATTTGTAAACAAAGAACATTAAAATAACGAAATACAAAATACTTATGCAATTAGTTTGGTCATAAAACGAATTTGAAAAAACTTATAAAGTGAAGCTGTACCATTAAAAAAATTAACTTTTATTTTTTTCAATTAAAATTTAATAACATAGTTATATAGGTAGTTTGGTTCACGGCAATATTTCCATACATAGTGCTCTTTATTTTATTTATTCGGGGTATAACATTACCAGGAGCCGAAAAAGGTATTAGATACTATATCGAGCCAAATCTCGAAAAACTAGCCATGCCTAATGTTTGGCAGGATGCTGCTACCCAGGTAATGATAATCCACTTCTTGAATATCTACACCTATATCAATTCTAATACTTTAACCCAAATTTGATCTATTTAGGTATTCTTTTCTTTGGGTCCAGGATTTGGTGTACTCATGGCATATTCTTCGTATAATGAATTCCATAACAATGTCTATCAGTAAGTTTGAACTTTTTATCATTTTAAATCTCTTTTTCAAAATAAACCGCTAAAGAAGCCAGGATATTAAGTTCAGCTCTTATACTGCTTTTTGTCTTGTTTGCTTTAAATATATTCGCGCATATCTGCTTAATCTCAATATAATTTATAATTCATCTGCTTTATTATAACGCAGCTAAAATTACTAAAACTAATAACAATACATCTACTTCATTTTATTCTTACTTTTTTCTTCCGCATATGCCATAACACATTTTCATTTATTAATGAATTTTACAATCACTTCAGATTCACGCAATACTTTCATGAGATTGAAAAGTAAATATTAGATTAATTGCCATTTTTATCAACAATAAAATCTAAAGTATAATAATAGAAGCAAAGATAGCGTAGTAAAATGTACCGTAATTGATGGTGGTATATTTCAGTGATGCTTTGATAACCAGCATAATTAACTGTGCAACAAGCTTCCTGTCTGGTTTTGTTATATTCTCGGTACATTTATTTTCATTTTTGTCTTAAAAATTTACATATTACTTAGTAATATTTGTGATAAGAATTCAACCTTTTAGGTGCTTGGTTATATGTCATGCAAAAGTGGTAAAGCAATACAGGATGTTGCACAGGTAAGAATAAATTATGCCAGTATTTTTAATTATTTTTACTAACTTTGTTATATTATTTCAATAATAACTGTTGTCATATAATATTAATAAACTAATTATTCATTATTCCTACCAAAATTTTAAACGTTAATTCTTTTTTTGATACAAAAGTTATTTATTGTAAATTATAGGAAGGTCCTGGACTTGTTTTTGTAGTATATCCAGAAGCTTTAGCAACAATGCCTGGTGCTTCTGTATTTTCCATCATTTTTTTTCTCATGCTACTTACACTTGGACTAGATAGTTCAGTATGTTAATTTATTTATATTAGAAAAAACTCACTTACACTTGGACTAGATAGTTCTCTTTAGAAAAAAAATTTTTGTTGTAACAAGTAATATTTAGCTTCCAATTTCAAAAATAACTTACTTTATTTGATGAAATGATTCATAAATAGCACTGATATAGTTGATTGAAACTTTTAGTTCGGTGGTTCAGAAGCAATAATTACAGCGTTGAGCGATGAATTTCCATTACTCAAACGTCGACGAGAATATTTTGTTGCTTTTCTCTTTTTTTTCTACTTAATTATTGGTACTGCTATTTGTACTCAAGTTAGTTAATTTTTTGTTACTTCCTAATCTGAAATTTAAATAGCACAAAATACAATGTTTTCTTGATTACTTAAAAAATATGTATTCAATCTTTTAGAAATTAAATTTTTTGTATTTCAATTTCAAATATATTATATTTAATTACAGGGTGGTATGCTTATAATGGAATGGCTAATTGTTTACGGAACATCTTGGGGTTTACTAATTGTAGTTTTTTGTGAAACGATCGTCATTTCATTTTTTTATGGTAACATCTGCTGAAGAGTTCATTTAGAATCCCCTTACTTGAATAAATTCTTCTCATAATCACACAACCTTTATGCTCTCACTACACTTAATATATACAAATGAAGGAAAAAAAAAACCTTACCTTAGTGAAATTTGAATTTAATTATACCAAGCAATTTATATTTGCCTATACAATATAATATAGATTACATATCAAATAATCCTTTGACCTATAAATAGGAATGGACAATTTTACTCGAAATTTGGAGGAAATGTTAGGATTTAAACCAGGACGTTACTGGCGTTTATGCTGGACAATTGCTGCGCCAATTTTTTTATTGGTAAATTTGTTAATTATAAATAAAAAATACTCAATCATGATCTCAATCAATTTCAGGCTACAATTATTAGCTCTTTTATTACATATGAACCACTCAAATATCAAGATTTTGTTTACCCAAAAATGGCTAACATCTTTGGAATTATTTTCGCATTCTCAGCAGTTTCAGCGATCCCAATTATTGGTTTGTATCAACTTTGCATTAGCAGAGGTGAAACATATGCAGCGGTATGCACTCTTGCATTTCAAATATCAAATAAATTTGCTCATACTCTGCCACTTACCTATATATAATCATGGCTTCGTTGTAGATGCAATCAATACTTTACTTGTATATCTTTCATCAAGTATTATTCTCCATAATTTCAAAGCATACTTTGATTATAAACATAACACTTGCAGAAAGTGAAATTGGTTTTAACGCCACATCAACGACAAATTAGTGAGAACCATGAAATGGTTGGATCAAATGCAGAAATAAACTTGTGATCCCAATGTACTGCTCGACCTTATGGCTACCCCTTGAAACCCACAAGTGCACATAGTTTAAGACGAAATAAAAACCCTTCATTCAAGACTAACAATTAAAATTAGTCTATGAAGCACAAATCCCGATAAAGACAATTTAATGAAACAAGAGATAACTAGTAACATTCCCATATTTCTACCCATAGGATGATATAAGAACTTTGCCAAAAAAAATTTTTCTGAAAACCAAACCAATTTAGGAAGATCGGTATTAATGTTCAAGAACAACCAGTGCCTATTATACATATTTTTCACTGACTTCTACTAACTAACGAGGAATAGTTATTTGCAAATTGACACACTCATGCAATGCAGAGAAATATGAAAAAAAAAAACGGCATGGAGCAAATGCAGATTGAGAGTAACGAAAAATAAATCACACAGACTCTATTCAGATGCAGAAAGTTGCAAAGACATTACTATGGATGCTTTGCAAAATTAGAAGTACTGTCCTTTTTACAAATATGACCTGGCGCACATCTGAAATTTCTGTAAAATATCTATCATTACATTGATTACATTTTTATTCTAACAAAATTATTTTTAAAACGACAGAAAAAAGGAAAACACAGAAGAGATTGTCCTGACCAATCAAGTCCCTTCATATGGTCCAGACATAACTTGAGACAAAAGAACTTGGAATATTTCTTGAACAAAGGCTTCATCACAACTAAAAAAGCATACAACAATGCACCACAAAATCCACTGCGTCATCGGTTCCGATCATAAAAAAGCCGCGAATAAATGGAGAGACAAAAGATCAGAATCACATTTATTCAAGGAATAGAAATCGATGGTAGGAAATTAAAAATGATTTTCAATTAATAAAAACAAAAATAATTTAAAGTTAAGAATGACTTAATTATTCAGTATGAAATCGCTACTCTGATATCATGTATAGAGTGAATTATGAAAACAAACTAAAATCAAATGACAAGAAAGTGATCAATCAACTTCCATTTCAGCATCATTCATTTTAGCCTCACACTTTGATGTTTCTTCGTTAACAATCGGCTTCTCTTCCTTCTGCTCATTATCGCCTTTTCCGTCACTTTTTAACGGTTCTGTTTTAGGTGGTTTTGGCTTCGGTTTGCTCAAGATTGGAAGAACAATAGCCTCAAATTTCTGAAAACATACCACTTCTACCTTCAATATTATCAGTGATTCATAGACAATACACAGACACATTCCAAAGCACTCGATATAAAATAGCTTGAAACACTTTTATAATCACAATATCATCAATTGATTTTATTTACCTGCAATTCATTTTGTATCTCATGAACGAAAACAACAGGGGGTTCAGTTTTTTTGCGCTTTTCTTGACGATTTCTCTGGTCATCGATCCATTTCTTTTTCTCTTCAACAGCAGATATCACCTGAAAGATGACAAATACCATTCTCTGTTCAAAAAGCTTGGAGATCTCACAAAAATTCAAAAGTTTAGCGATTAAAACAAAGGAGAAAAATCAAAATCATCTCATGTAATGAACCTTTTCCATATCACTCGATTCGAGGTGCGCATAATTTTCACTTCCTTTTCTATAATCGTCATAAAATTTACGTGCTTTCTGAAAAAAAATATGCGATTTCCATTATGACACATTCTTTCGACGTTTTGAAAAAGTGAGCAACTTCATATTAGTACCGTTCTTTAGAATAATGGCTAATACCTTCAAAAAATTGAACACTTACAATAAGGGATCTATCAAAGTCATCAAAGGCATTTTTGCGATTTTCAAATTCACGATATCTTTCCTGCACCGGATCCCCCATTTTCTTCAGTTCGACCATTTTAGCATCATAAATTGTCTTTTCAACATCTTCCCCTTCATCATAAAGCCAATTTTCTGTTTTATTCAAGAAAGTTTGCAACTTTTCCGCTTCCTACAATGCACCAATTTAAAAAAATTCGCCTCCAAACCCTTAAAAAGATTAATCCGATGACACATCTAACATATAAGACACAAATCATACATTAATTACAAAAGTACCTCATTAGAAACAAATTCTGAGAGTGAGTCTCCCAATTTATCACGCATGTAATACACATACTCCTCTACAGCATTTTTTGCGTCAACTTTTTCTTTTTCTATGCGATCTTTTTGCTGCATTTCTTTCTGGAACAATTATTGTCTTAGAACAAAGATAAAACTGATGCTAAAAAAATTCAACTGCGAAAAGTCAAACATACCTCCTTTTCCTAAATGACAAAAGAATTAACAAAATCAAATACCTTACGCAAACTTCAGCCCAAAAACTTTTCGAGATAATATCAAAAATTTTCGTACTTTGCATTAATACAAGAATAAGCTGTTAAGCAACAATTTGATAACCAAATTTTATGTAAGCGATGAATTTTAAGCCCTTGGAAGCATACGATTTCCTATTTAGTAATGTCCAATCTTTAATACTTGAAAAATTCATTCAAACAAATCGAAAATAACCTCAGACTGAATTTGATCAGATATGTTGGAAATCTTATAAGAAACATGCTCTTCAACTGGTAAATCTACAGATACTGTCTTAGTTTTTGGTTCAATTTTTGATTCTTTTTGATCACTTTCAACAGGAGTTTCTGTAGCAGTAGTAGTTGCAGTTCCATCTTCGTTGCTCTCTTGATTACTTTTACTATCATCGGTTTCCATTGGTTCAGCACCTTGCTGAGTCTCCACCTAAATATCATTAAAGCTTCAGTAGTACAGTGAATAAATGCTAGAACCAAGCAGTAACTATAACAAAACTTACTTTCACTGGTTGCAATTCAACAGTCTCAAAAGTGTTCGCTGAGCAAACTGAAAATATTCCATTAGGATTGATTCGAACTTTCACTTTCACTTTACGAGCCCCATTATCAGATGCTGGTGTAACATCACGAACAACCCACGAACCTAAAGAAAATTGATATGGAATTATTTATTTAGAAACAGCAGTGACCGATTTTAGTGTATAATTTCATACTTAAAAACTTTTCATATATACCACCAACAGTTTTCGGTTGTGGCTTACCTATGTGACGACTAGGATGTGGGATCTGGTTAGGATAAGAATAACTTGCATCAATTTGAAAAGATTCCTGTCGGTAAACTGTGAGCATTTTTGAGAAAGGAAACTCATCGTGCTCGATAAAAACATCATTTTCACTGAAACTAGTAATTATTTACTTAAACTTGATGATTTCAATAAGCAATAAATACTAATTAATATTCATATTTGTCGAAACAGTCTTGTAAAAAAGTTCACGATCTATCAAAGGCTTGGACTTACCCCCCATCACTTTGTCCGATCCCTGCCCAAGAAAGTTTAATTCTGAAGGGTTGGCTATCCTTCACTGAAAAGTCTCGAACTTTGAATGCTGGTGAAAGAATTGCACATTTCATCGCGGCTCCTGCAACTATTATTTTCAAAGAAGACGAGAAAAAAATAGCAATCAAAGAGATGTTTAACACACCTGATATAAAAGGATAAGATGCATTTATAAAGTTTTCAAAACTTAAAACAAATCAAAAATTT